GCAATTGAGTGTCATTTGGTGTGACAGGTGAGCCGGCGTGGGTTTTTGTGGGGGGAAGCCATTTGGTGAGGTGACGGGAAAGGGTGTGATGTGGGGTCTAAAAATGAACATCATACGGGGATGAGAAGCATATGGGATTACTTTCCGGAAGTCGGGGATATGAAATCAATGCCTCGATGGATTACACATGTCCTTTTGGGACCTTTTTGCTTTCTGCATGGGACTTTTCCGCGTCTTCTTTCTCTTGGTGAGTACAAAGTAGCGTATATGGGAGAGTGTGAGTGCAAGTGTGTGTGGGCTGCATGTGTTTCTTTTTTGGACCGGGTCTTAGGGAAAATGCGACGGTAAGCAGACATTATCTCAACGAGGGAGGGAGAAAGTGAGTGCTTAGTGGTAGGGCTTGCCGCTTGCCGCTTGCCGCTGCCGCCCTTGGTGTGAGGCATGAGGTGGTGTGTGGTACAGTAAGATGCCAAAAATTGTCTGCAGTGAAGAATGCGCAGGCTTGAGGAGGGGGGAGGGGGGAGGGGGATGATGTGTGTGTGTGGTGATGTGAAGCTCGCACTTGTGTGTGTGTGTGTGTGTGTGTGTGTGTGTGTGTGGGTGGGTGGGTTTGGAGGGTGATGAGTGCGAGTTGAGTGGTTGAAACCATACATCATGATAACCCATCAAGGAGGGTCAAGTAAGATTCTCATGAGATCGCTTAGACGACATGCGCGGGGAGGCGCAAGCGGAAGAGGTAGACATACGACACGTGCCGCAGATATGCACATACCTATGGATGCATAAGCGCAAGCGCTTTGGAGTCGTGCAGGTGTGTGTTTCGCGGCGTGAAGTATCTGGTCAGTCTAGACGGGCTTGACGCTAGGGCTCTGAGCCTTGGTTTTGGTGGTTGCAGCGCAGCGCATGGTTCACAATTGGTGAGATGCGAGATTCCTCAGATGTGAGGGACGCCGAGCGAGGGCAGGGTCGGGTGCTTTCGAGATGAGGTCACCCCAGGTACCGCTCCACACCCCTGTCACCATTTTGGCCTTGTCCTTGCATTCTACTCTTGTGTACGGAGTAAGGAGTACAAGCTTGACGTATTTGATGTTGGAAGCATGGGCGTAGGGGAGATGATCACCAGGCATCAATTCGATATAACGAGGAAACGCAACTATGTATCCGTACGCTGCTATCTAAAGACACACCTTGTCGTCGAAAACTTAGGACCTGGGCTCGCTTGTCAGTACAGTGTCCTCCGTCCGTAGGGTAGTAGTGGCTTTGAGACATCAGACATGACAGCTGTCCGCTGTGCAGATCGTCCAACGATTTCCAAAATTCAAATTTAGACAAAAAAAAAAAAAAAAGACTTGATCAACAAGGGGGGAGGGGGGGAGAAACGAAGGTCGGTCGTGTTTTCTGCCCAAACACCAAGGGGGGCCCTATCCCTGTCCTGTTCGTCTGAAGAAGCAACTTCTCATCTGAACTTTGCTCCATTTTGAAAGAGGGTCCCCCGGTAAATGGGATGCCTCCTCACCTGAAAATCGTGGGACTACGGATACTTCGTACTTTAATTTCACGATGTTTGCGTTTCTTTCCCTGCTAGGTATCATTTGAGTTTCTTCCTCATCGTTGCTTTTCTTTGATCTCCATTCGACGGTCGGAAAGTAGGAGGGGGGGGGGGGACGTGCGGCAGGATTACCGGCATTTTGTGACTTGTGATGATCAAAGGCGCACGCCGAGGGAATGAAAGATATCGTGCGTCGCAGGAAGGATTTGTTGAAATCGAGATATCGGCTTCGGGAGGTCCTGAAGGAAGGCAGCTTGTCGTTGGACAAGGGGTGTCCCGAGGGGGTGGGGTTCGCGCCGCGGCCGACCGCCCGGGCCAGGATGCGGCCTCCAGTATCCGTACGGACGGCGGATACAATCTTTGTTTGTGCAGGGCACTTTGTCAGTTGGTAGGTAACGTACCTTAGAGAAGGTAGGTACCTATGCTGCAGAAGGATTCGAGGCAAACGATCTTTATGCAAGCTTGCAAACAAGACGGAAGGGTGACTAGACACGAATTAGCCTAGCAGCACCAATCGACCGCTGCTCACTGTGATGGGAAGCGATATATTGATGTGCAATTGCGGCGGGAATCGCAAAGCACCAGTTCCTATCGGGCAGAATCGATGCTTGGTCATCTCCTTCGAGGGTTGTCCGTAGACTCCGTACTCGCGTGATCCTTGGCTTCAGCCATACTAGGGTGCCTGGGTGAGGGGTCGCGGGTCGCGGATGCGGACGGAGCGGCAGGCAGCTGCTGTGAGCTTCTTTTTGATCCTGCGACCGCGATATCCGGCTCATCGTGACATACCTCAAGGTAGAGAGAGGTACAGGGGGTGGGGGATCGCTTGTTTGACGGCCGCCGTGCCATAGGACGATTGTCAAGCGCGGAGGACTACGCCGTACTCAAAAACTTGGAAATGATGCATATCTAGGATTCTTTCCAAGCGCGACCTGCCTTGCTTTGGTTGAAGGATTCCTATTTTGGGGGCTGCAGAATTGCCCAGATCTTAACGTGCCGCCGCCGGTGACCGGTGAGAGAAGCAGAGTGGACGACTTTGCCAAAGAGAGGCAAAGGGAATCCCACGTTGAGTGGGATACTGTTTCGTGATTTGAGGGGGATGATGCGAACCAGCTGACCAAGCGGTACGAAGTGATGGAAGGAACAAAAAAGTGCCAGGCGGATATGCATGGGCGTCCGCGGCTTTCGAGGTCCTGTGCCCGGCCGGCCGGGGGGCGGCCTCGGTGTACCAAAATGGGGGACCCGAGTCTTGGAAGGAGTCGTCGAGTCGTCGAAAAGGTGACATGACACCCGTGCCTTCATTCTATGCAGGCACTTCCACCTGGCTTGTGTAGGTCTCTGTCCAATGCTCGTGAGGCATGCAATACACACCACTTTGTGCGTGGGTAGACTTGCTGACCTTTGGAGACACACAGTTCCGGTGCGGGAAGCATGGCACTTCTGTCTCACTTCCTTGACGTCGCCCAGTACGAGTAGCAACCTTAGTCAGAGGCTGATATTCGCGGAACTTTTGAAGGTGAAAGCTGGGCTGATCTGGGCTGGGCTGGGTTGCTGATGTTCGAGACGCAAGGGACTTCTAAACCCAGCGAGCCGGGGATACGCGCAAGTAATCGATCTTCAGCTTGGTGGGGTGCTGGATCTTGGATTGTTGGGTTGCTCACATCGCAGTTATCCTTATTGGTAGCTGTTGTCGCAAGGGGTCTGGTTCCTGAAGACGATACCTCGAAACGGCGAGATGATACCAGAAACTTCTCACTACAGTTCGGTTGGCGGGCTTGGTTGGACAATTGTGTGAGGTGCCTGTTGGTCGTTGCCTGGAAGAGCGTGTGCCACAGAACGAAAGCTCGGAGATCGTCGCTGGCAATGAGCAGCTGAGGAGTTACACCGGTTGGGTGGGACGGCCATGCGCCCCCTGGGCCACAGGGCTTGGTCTCGGCCTTGGTTTGCTCTAGCTTGTTGAATTGCACTTGGGGACTGTCCTCGGCTCTTTGCGATGGAAGGATGCCCAGAAATGACGGCGAGGGGGCGTATGGGACTTCGAAATTTAGGGTAGTGATGTGAGATGTGGCTGCGTGACGAGGCTGGTGCTGGGCGTGGGCGAGTGAGATTGAGGCTCAGTTCCTCATACGATGTTATCCATAGTAGCTAGCCCTGTCGGCTGTTGGAGGATCTCTTGGATGCGTAGGTGTGCGATCAGAGCAGGGGTGAACTTGGGAGGCGCAATCTCTCTGTAGATGAAGAATGATCTGAACTTGACAGGAGCGCCACAGACAGTGGCGGATGCGGATGCGGAGCGGAGGAGTCGGCAAGGTCTGCCGTCCTCTCGCGGGGACGGTGGCGGTAGGATTCGGTAGGATTTTGGGGGCGTTCGGGAACTTGGGGTCTAGAACGAGTTGATGGTGATTGAGGAAGACGGGGTATTCTGTGGAGTGAGGTCATTGGGCTGTCTGTAGTAAAAAAAGTTGAGACTGTGAAGAGATAGTTGTAGAGACAGTTGGATGGCGATGCTTGTCCCTTGGTGGTTGAGAGATTGGTCATGGCATGTTGTCTGAGTTCTTTCCTAAGGTGCCAAGGTACCTTAATCCTGTGATAGTCGCCGATGGAAAACCTAGAGGGTGCTATGGAAAGATGGGAAGGAACGGGAAGGTGGTCAAGGTGCCTGCCTTTCATCGTTACTTAGGTACTTAGCCAAGGCAAGACTTACCTTACCTTAGGTACCTACCTAGGTGTTTAAGGTATCGATGGAAACAACTACTTGCCCAGGCGATGCTTCGGGAGGTGAGATCTGTCACTGTTGTAGCGGAACCTACAGCAGCAATAAGCCCTGGAAGGCGCTGAAACCCATCTGTTCTTTCCCCACGAGAGCCCCTCCGGCGGCAAAACCCGGTGGCTCGCTCCTTCCACGGACCACAGCGGGACCCGTTACGGAGGACATCCGGTCGCGTTCGCGTCGCGCCCTGAGTTCCGCCCCTCGTCCCGCAACCTCACTTTCCAACCTCGGAGATGCTGAACCTCCACCTCGGCGACACCACCACCACCGCACCGTTGACCCCGTCCGCCACATTCTAAGCTGTCAGCCGCTCTTTTCTTTCTCATTAATACTTCAATACCCTTCGAAAAGAAAAGGCCAGCTGCGAAAAGAGACGAGATGCCCACTCTCTCTTGTTCTCTGCACTAGCTGGCCTATCCCCCGATCCATTGTCTCCTCAGACGAGCGTTTGCTTCATAAACTTTCGTTCCCCCCAGTGAGTACCAGATATCACTAGTACTACGTGACCTCAAATCCGCGACAACCTCGCCCCTTTCTACAAAGCGGAAGACTCAAGATCTTGCTACATCTTTTTGCCTCATTTCAACAAACGCAAAACGATACAGGTGTTCAAAACTGACCGGCCGTCTCAATGGATCCCTTCGCGCAGACCACAGTCTTTTACATCCACGTCATCAAAAAGGCATGGCGCCGCCTGGACAGCTCCCTCGCGTCCGCTCGGCGGAGGCGTCAATCGAGAAGGGCCGCGCAGCCTACGCGGACCAGCGCTTCCGCGTCGCCCTCGAGCACTTCACCCTCGTCGCCGGGAACTGCCCATGTTCGTCACCCTCGGGAGGAGGGCCTACCTCTTCAGGTGGAGGCTCAGGAAGTAGTTCCGGTGGTCGTACTTCTCGAAGTCTCAAAGGGCTCGGGGCCGCAGGTTCTAGAGGTGGTGGAGGTGCAGGTCCTGACGGCGGAGACGCCAGCGGGAACGGACACAGTCCCGCGCAGCAGCGTCGCCGGCGGGAAAGGTGTACGTGCCGCGACTTTGCTCAAGCGGCGGCCCGGCACCGCCGCGAAAGGGGCAGCGTATACGCGGAGGCCACTAAGGAGTGCAAGTGTGGCGCCGAGAAGACGTGGGGCCGGTGCCACCGTGAGGGCCACGTCCAGGCGCTCGACTACCGGGCTGCGTGCTTTGAGAAGATGGGAAAGCTGGATATGGCGCGCAGGGATGCGGAGTGGCTGTTAGAGATTGCGCCCCGGCGGTTGGAGGTGAGTCTTGGTCCTGTTATTTGTTTTCGGACTTGGCTGCGCATGCTGTCGCTCCCTTACCACTTTGCTCGCTTGTCTTACTTTTGTGCTGTGTTCCATATGAATAACACGTTTTCAGGGGTACATGAGGCTGGGGAAGATATACAAGTTGGAGAAGAAACACGAAATGGCGTGGGCTGCGTGGAGTGCCGGTATCGAGGTTGGACAAAAGGAAAGTCTCACGAGAACGACTAAATATGAAGTATGCGGTATCTGCTTGAACTTGGTATCGCTAGACTATTGGCTAACCCGGACTCTCGCAGCAACTTTGCAAGATTCGCGAACCATTACACAAACACTTTTGTCGAAGAGACCCTATGGAGTTACCAATCGAGTTGATTGAAAAAGTATTTTCCTACTTTGATTTTCACGAGCTATGGTGAGCTCAAGCAGGCCGGTCCATTTCCTGTGGCTGTCACTCCTTCTCTTGACTCAATTGCTGACATGGAACGCTAGTCGAATATCGGGAGTCTGTAAACGATGGGACCAGTTCCTTGACACCCACCCCTACATCTGGAGACAAGTCCATTTCCCTTCACTAAACCCGCAAAAGCCACCAAGAGTCTCCTTCCTGAAGACGTTACGGAAGCGGACCGGCGGTGGCGCCCGCAGCCTCGTCATCCCCAATGCGCATGCCTTCCAACTCAACGAGACAAAGTGGCTGTCACTCATCCAGACCACGAACCCGCGCATGATGACGCGCCTCGAGATCGGCGCTATCAAGCGTAACCTTGAGAGCGGCGACTGGGGCTACAAGCTGCCTCCCAAGCCGCTCTTCTTTGAAGGACTCACGCACCTCGGCTTCAGCTTCCGTGTTGACAGGCCGAATTACCAAAGCACCGGCGGTGCCCAGCCCTTTGTAAGGCAGTTTGTCGAACGTGCCCGGGAGAATATCGAGAGGATATCCCTCTTCAGCATGCACCTCAACGACCTGGGCTGGCCGGAGCTGCCCCGACTCAAGATCCTTCAGTTGACCGGTCCGCTGACTTCGACATTGAATCAGCTGACCCCTGAGCGCCGAATTGACCCCGTAAGTTGTGCCCTGTCATCCATCTATTTTCCCTATCCTTTGGCCTGTGCAAAGTTTGAATATCCACGTAATCGCCAAATTTGCTAAGCAGAACCCGCAGTTCGCTCTCGCTCGCTCAACGCCAAATCTAGAGCAAATACACATGGATAATTTTGGCGTGTTCACCGGCCTGGACTCACTCGCTCCGCCAGAAGACTGCTGGTCCCTCTGGCCGGGCCTTCAGGTTATCAAGCTCGGCAAGGCGTGCGGCGCCCTCTCCATGGGCGACAAGCGCCACTTCCCGCCGCTGCACCCGTCCTCCTTCCGCGTCCTCGACGCCCGCGCCGCGCTCCAATCCAACCACGGCGACTGGCTGCCCCAGCAGCTACCCCTCGACTACTCGGGCTACGAGGCTGCCGAGTCCCTCGTCACCTACCCCAACCTCGAGCGCTTCTGGATGCCGAAATTGCCCCTGAGCGTCGATCTCGCAACCGTCCTCCTCGAGCCCGCCGTCCGCTCAGGCAGGCTACGTGAGCTCGGCCTCTGCTGGCGCCAGGAACCGGGCCAATTCTTTCCCGGTGCGCTCGACTGGCTCCGTGGCAGCGTCTCGGTCCGCACATTCGGCTTCTTCAATTTTGATTTCGAGTCCCACGAGAACCTGACGCGGGATCCGGCACAGAGGGGACGCGGCATCGACTCGGTCGATCTCCTCTTTGGGTTCCTCCAGTCGTTCCCCAACCTCGAGGTTCTCGAGCTGCACTCAGACCTGTGCGACCCGATGCGCCTCGGCGCCATCATCGAGCGCGTCGCGATCCTGGGCAGACTAAAGAAGGTGTACCAGCGCGCGCTGACGGGGGTGGCGATGGATCAGCTGAGGACCTTTTGCGGCGCTCATGGGGTCGAGGTTGTGTATGGGAGTTGGGAAGCTGAGTTTCCCGTGCCTTTGGAGCCTTTGGCTCCCGTGGAGGCTGAGATTGGCGAGTGAAAGTGGGAAACCGGCTCAGTAGTTATGGGTAGCGACGGGCCCAAAGGATATGATACATTGCTATTGGTTTTCTTTTGTGACCATTCCAGTCGAATTACGCAGGTCTCATAGCATTAGGCGTAACTGCTTGGATACATGTATTCGATACTTACTGCCCGTAACACAAAAACAAAAGGGGCAATTTCTACATCATCTTCTCCATCGCGAATGTGAATAGTTTTCATGGCACATACTCACACACGGGGTATCATGACGCACAGCATAAAAATAGACCAGAAACTTTGAACAAGTTAAAAAAAAAGTGGATTAGTTTTGCTAATTCGAAAGCTCCTCGCTATTCAAGTGACGCGGGAAAACTTGGTGGGGTTTGATTAACAATGAGTATGACAATGACCAAAAACAAAGCATCACGGATATATAAAGAGGACAAAACGGAACAAAAAACAAGAAAGACGATTTCATCTTCCCTCCCACTCCTGCCTGCCCACAGGCTTCCTTCCTTGCCTTGAGCCCAGCCTCTTCACATGTATGAGGCTGCTACACGGGGCTCCTTCGCCCCCTTTTCTCAAAACGCCGTTGGATATTCTCCCCCTTTCCCTCGAAAAGACAGTTTGATGTTTCCTCCCAAAGAAAAAGTATAGGAGAGTTGTTGGAGTAGTGATATTATGTAGTGATTGTAATTTGCAGAAGAGGGAGGGGGGGGACCTCCTCTTCGCTTCTAGGTAGTGAGTCTTGGTCAAGTTTGAATGAATGTGAATGTGAATGTGAATGTGACATAAGGGGCATCTCACGACCGAGCAGGCGACGGCGGGACGGCGACGTTACCCGAGATGAGACTCTCCATTTCCCACGGGCTAAGCGTGCTCCGCCTCCTCGAGGCGACTTTGCTCACGCGCCTGTCGCGCTTGCGCTTCGTCGGCTGGAGCGGCGACTGCTGGACCTGCTCGTCTTGCGGGATGTCGCGCTTGACGGGGTCGAGGTCTCCTCTGTCTGCGCGTGTCTTTGCCGGGGAGTCTACGGGTGGCTGAGTTTCTTGCGGCATTGCGACAATGGTTTCTGGTGGAGGGGCAGGCATATGCTGCTGCTGCTGCTGTAGGGGTGCGGCCATCGGTTTGCCGAGCGCACCTCCACGCGCTGCCTTGAGCTTCGCGCGGACGCGGGCGGCGTCGGCTTCGCGCTCTGAGGCTGCCAGTTTGGCCGCAATGGTTGCCATCGTCAGGGGGCTCTGCTGTGGTGGAGGATCTGAGGGCCGCGGGAGGGGCAGACGGGAGGGGACGCGGCGGAGAGGGGTGCGGTGCGGTGTTGCGTTCTTGTTGTTGCCGCTGGTCTGGACGGCCGGGGCGGGGGGCGCGCCCTCGCAGCTTTCCTGGCTCGACTGGCTTTCTTGGCTCTCCTGAGAGACTGTGCGGATGTTCTTGACAGAAGATTGAGTTTCCCTCGGTGCCGGGACCGCTGGTGAAGGCGCTGTGGGGGCGGCTGGGACGAGACGCGGCGGCTTGGGGAGTTTCCGCGCCGTTGGCGTTTGATTTACTTCCGGGGGCGGGGTTCCGGACGGCGTGATGAGGGGTGCGCCGTTGTGTGTTGATTCGGAGGCGATCGAGGCAGCAGATGTTGTGCGAGAGCGGTCGTCGACCGGGTGCTGTGGTTTCTGCGGCGATCGCGGGAGTTGAACGAGGTGTGGTGGTGGTTTCGGGGCGACGTCGACGGCGCGGATCGTTCTGGGCTTCTCGTTGACCATCGTGTCATAGTCTCCGCGAATATCGCGCCTGGGTCTTGCGTCGCGGTTGCCCGCAGAAGGCATCTCGCGGAGCGGGCTCATCTGGGGAGGTGGGGGAAGAGGAGGGGAGCTGAGGTAGGCGGTGGATTGCTGAAGAATCTGGACGTTGGGCTCTTCGATATCGAGTTCCTCGACATCGACGTCCTCAAAGATGCTCGACTCATAGTCACTCGGCTGGTCGTCCTGGTTGTACTCTTCTTCACGAGGAGCTGCTTCGTATTCTGCCGGTGCGGGAACAAGATGTAGTGACTCGACCCTTTGCGGAGCAGGGCACGGAGATTCGGGCAAATCGTCATAATCAATCTCCTCTTCCTCCTCCTCCTCTTCTTCCCCTTCCTCTTCCAAGTCGGCGGTGCACTCCTCTTGCACACAAGATAGCTCATGCATGTCCATACCGCCCTGGTGAGTCTCCTCAACATTGCGAACGCGCACGGGACTAAGACGGAGGCCCATCTTGAGCTCTTCCATATTCACCGACTTGCCGTCGGCCACCATGCGCCGACGCCAACCGTCAATGAGATGGACGGCTTCCTGCCAGCGGTTCTCCATCTTCACCCAGCCCGCACGCAAACGAGCAATCTCCTCTTCACGGACCTCGACCTCCTCAATAGGGGCGAACGAGGGGTTCGTCAAGATGGAGCGCAGGTGTTCGAGGATGGCGTCAAGCTCATGTGCCATATCCTCGGCCGTGGGCAGCGTGACAGCATGCCCATCGCCCTGACTTGTTCTAGCATCACAGCCACTCATCTCGCGCAAACTCTTGGTCGTTCGACGGACCAGGTTTAGGAGGGACTCGTTCTCTTCACTAAGGTTTCGCGCAAGGTCCGTTAGGAACTCGTTCGTCTCGCTGCGCAGGTCGTAGCTGGAGTCCTCTGTGGTCGCGGCGGTCTTGCCTCCGCGCTTGGGCGATATCTTGTCCTCGCCCTCGCCGGCGACGACGCTGATAACGGTGACGGCGGAGCTCTTGGCGGTACCGCGGGGACGGCCAGCTTCGCCCAGTTGCTTCTTCAGGCCATCTATCTGGCGATCACGGCGTCGGACCTCCGTTGCGCAGGAGGCCCTCGTCTGGGCGACCAGGGTCTTGGCGCGAGCTACCTCGTCTTTGAGGCCGCGTACAGCGGCGTCGGCAGACTTGAGCTGGGTGCGCAAGGTGTTTTCGGTGGCCTCGCTGATGTCGAGCTTTCTTTGAGCCTCGGTGTGCTTCTCTGAGAGGCGTGCGATATCGTTTGTGTACCGCAGATTCTCGGCGCGGACGGTGCGCATGGTAGTCGATAGGTTCTCGCGTTGTTCGGCGTCGCGCTTCAGGAGGAAAACATAACATCTCAGTATGGGGGATCCTTCTTCTTCTTCTTCTTCCTTCTAAGGCTACGTATCAGGGGAATAAGGGCAAACGCACGTCTCGGCGCAAGATCAAATCATTGACAATGCTCATGATCTTGCCCATGGTGGCCTCCGCGCCGCCCGGATAGTCGTCCGGGTCGGCAAAGTTGATTGTTTGGCCATCGCGCAGGAGTCCTCGCGAGAGTAATTGGTTGTTGATATACAGCGATGCCGTACGCAAGTTGTCGTTTTCCGCCATCGTGATGGACGTGTTGTCGCGGCGAGACGATCGCACCACGAGCAGTGCTTGTTGCAGAGTATCTCTCTTGGTCAGCACATGCGGAGGAATGTGGTTCTTGAGCGGATCAAAAAGCTTGTGACTGAAGATCGAAAGAAGAGTAGAAAGTGTGTCATCAAAAGGAAATGAGCTATGGCGTTGGTGTGTATTCGTAGTGCCCGGTTCGGAGCTTATGCAGGAGAGTGACGGATCAATACCCTTTTCTGCGTGGTCTGCAAGGGCGAGTTTTTGCTGGATATGGAACTTGCTGTGTGCTGTGCTGTGTCTGCTCTTCTTCGCTGTGTATTTTGCGAGGTGGGGGTGACATGGCAACCACCTCGCAAAGTAAACAAAAAATTGGCCAACTCACAACGTCACATGGGTCCGTGGCCTAAAAGTATCCGCTCCTGGCCCGACCCTGCGGGGCTAGCCGACACTTGCCTAGCGCCATTCTTATAATTCATGCGATATCTGCTCGAGTCACATCTCACAGCTTCCCATCACACTCAAAAGTTTCATTATATTGCTTCTTCCTCAGCCTGCAGCCTGGGAAACAACTTTGTTTTCTCCCGTCATATCGACATGGCTTATGATCCCACGGCACTTGGGCAATCGGCAGAGCCCCTCGTACAAGATGTCTCCGGCGAGATATGGCATCCCTTGTTCCAGCAGGAGTGCGCCTTTGGGCCCGAAATCTTTGAGGATGTCATGATGAATCTCATCAAGAACCCAAACATCAACTCGTCATGGCTCTTTCGCGCTGATATTCTACACGACTCAGACCCGGCATGGACACCTCCCCCTGCCCCCGCACCTGAAGCCGCCTCGGAAGATAACGCCGCCGCACAAGTTGTGCAGCAGCAACAGCCTCTTCCCATTGCTTTTCAGGATTTCCGCAACGACCGCGTCTTCGTGCGCAGGCTGATCCCGCGCAACACCCGCCGGGACGACCCCCTGGACCAGACGTGCGTCTTCGCCTCATCCTGTACCCCAGATGCCACAAAGGCCAGGTCCCTGGTCGTCTACCTCCCCCACGCGTCCTCGCCCGACGCCCTCCCCTTCTACCACCCCAAGGTCCGGGGCGTCGCGCACCTCCACGAGTGGGACGCTGCACGCGCCGTCGGTACCGTCTCCATCCACTACCTGTTTTTTGACGAGGCCGACTTCGCCGTCGAGAAGCTAGTCCGAACCGCCCGCATGCTGCTCTCCGTGCTGTACAAGCACGGCCAGGGGCGGGTTGGCGGGTACACCAAGCGGGTGCACCACGACGTTGTGATTCCCCAGGCAAGATTCCAGAACCGCTATATGGAGCTCAAGCTCAAGTATGCCAAGGACCTGGTGGAAACCTGGGCAGAGACGACGGACCCGTCAAAGCACGTCTTTGAGGACTTGGGCATTGCTGCTTTCCTGATTGAGCTCTGGAAGGAAATGTACAAGGACCAGCCGTTCCCTGGATTTGTAGATATTGGCTGCGGAAACGGATTGCTAGTTCATTTGTTGATCCAAGAGGGCTACTCTGGATGGGGCTTCGATGCCAGAGCCAGGAAGTCATGGGCCAAGTACAATTCGGTCCAAGATGGACGGGATTCGCTCCAGGCTCTGGTTCTTCTCCCAGATATTGTCTCCAGGCCGTCTTACGCCGACAGCGAGGAGGAGCCTGCCTTGGACCTGACAAAGATACATGACGGCACTTTCCCAAAAGGCACCTTCATCGTGTCCAATCATGCAGATGAACTTACACCGTGGACACCGATCCTGGCGACGCTGTCAGAGAGTCCCTTCATTATGATTCCCTGCTGCAGTCATTCCCTGGGCGGTCAAAAATACCGCCCACCGCCGCCGCGTGATAAGACCAAGTCGATATCGACGTATGCCTCCTTGGTCGATTGGGCGGCACAGATCGCCGAGGACTGCGGATGGGACGTGGAGACGGAGATGTTGCGTATTCCGAGCACGCGAAACACGGCCATGCTCGGGAGGAAGCGGACGCGGGACGTGGAGGAAGTAGACATTGACGGAGTCTTGACCAAGTACGGCGGCACCGATGGGTACTTTGAGAGTGCGGCCAAGTTGACCAAGACTGAGAAGGGGCACTAGACAGAGAGTTGTCATATCTTTTGGTTCATAAATATGAGACAGACATCTGGGTGCTATTCACGTTGAAAATTACATGAAGATAGGGGGGAGTCCAAAAGTTTAACATCTGAATTTGAACACAGTCTTTACTGGCACTATGTTCGACGCGGCTCGTTGCAGGGACCAATATCTAGATAATCTAGATTGATGCTACACCTCGGACGAACGCAATCACTTTACGGAGTGGTGTGAACTTCCCTATTGATGAATCTTCTTGCAGTCCCTTTGGAGCACAAAACTTGATGATGTTGGCGATATAAGGACACCTTGCCCAAAACTTCCAACCAGACCTTTCGATCCGTTCAAATCGACTCGACCAACTCCTGAATCCTCTTCCTCGCAGCCTCCCTCACCTCAGTAACAACGACCCCAGCCGGCTTAATCTCATCAATAAGCCCAAGCCCAGCACCTGCCCACTTCCCAATCATCTTCTTCCCTTCCTCCTCGCTCCACCCCGTCCGCAACCTCTCCCGACTCTCCTCCACCGTCGCCGTCTGGCCGCCGAGGGCGTGATACTCCCGATGAATATCCCCCACAATCGCCCTCCCATCATACCCCTCCTTCCATAGCTTATTATCCACCAACCGATCATGGAACTCCGACTTCCACGTACTCACCCCGCCGTCCTTGGTTCTCACAATAACCTCCTTGTGCAACTGCGCGCTCATCGCCTCATCGGTAGCAACGAACCGCGTGCCCAACACAACCCCCTCGGCGCCCAGCGCCAGCGCCGCAGCCACCCCGCTACCCTCCACGATCCCGCCCGCCGCGACGACAGCGACGTCCCGGTCAGGGAACTCGGCCGCCAGCATGGCCTTTACCTCGGGCACCAGCGCGACAACGCCGCAGCCCCGCGAGAACTGGTGCCCGCCCGCGTCGACCCCCTGCGCGACGATGACGTCCGCGCCGTCGGCGGCCGCCTCCCGCGCCGCGGCGACGTTGCCGACCTGCACAAAGACTTTCGTCCCCTTGCCACGGAGCGCGGCGATGATTTCGCCGTGGGGCTTGGTCTCTGGGTGCGGGGCAAAAAGCCAGGCTGCTGCGACGCCGTGGCGGACGAGGATGGGCAGGACGTTGGCTGTGAAGTGGCCGGCTGTCTCGTGGGATGTGATGAAGCCCACGCCTAGCGGGAGTCCTCCCGCGCCGCTGCTGCTGCTGCCACCGTCGGCGGCCGGGAGCGAGAGGAGGGTGCGGGCCTGGGTGAGGGCCTTGTCTAGGTCCGTCATCTGGGCCGAGGACTCTGAGAAGTCAAAGCCCGCGGCGATGAAACCTGAACAGAGGGAGATTTGTCAATCTGACGTTTTTCAATAAGAAGCCAAGAGAGACACTCTTTTGCTGGCTCGAATAAGGGAGGGTGAGTTCGCCCTTACCGAAACCACCGGCTTTGTAGACTTCAGTTGCCATGGCGGCGCCGGCGGACCCCAGCATCGGCGCGTTGATGATGACGGGCGCCTTGACGTGAGGGAACCACGATATCAGTCTCGAGATGGCCATGTTTGGTGTGTTTTGTTTCTTTGCTTCTTTGCTTTTTCTTGCTCCCTTTTCGCACTTTTGTTTGTTCTAAGTGAGGGGTGTTGTTGACTTTTTTCCCCGGGGCTTTGTGAGACAGCACTATTGGAGAACTTTCAGACTGTGACGATCGGGCGGGGTCAGCTTGGTGTCTTATACTCAGAATCTCGGAAGTAAAAAAAAAACAAGATGTCCTGACTTCTGAGTGAGATCTTGGTGTATATGTGAGACACGAGAAAGGTATTGGCCTAGGTACTTGCCACGGCTGACAAAAGAGGATGCTTAGTAGATTGCCGGATCCCCGGAGAGGTTCGTCGTCATCCCTCCTTCTCAGCGGCTCTCCTCGGTTCTCCAATTGTGGGAACTGCGCGAACATCTCCGCGGAGGAAAGCGGGGCCGGACGGCCGTGTGTTATCCGGACTGCTTGTTCACATGCTCGGCCCGTTGCTTGGCGTGTGCGCCGGAGGACACAACTTCTTGGAAGGGTGTTGTCTACCACTTGTCTAGAAAAGGAAAGGGCTTTCTCTGACGATACCACATAATCCGTATTGCCAAGTACGTAGAAGCATCACGAAGGAGAAAAATTACATTCACATTTATAACTTGACGCTGTACCCTTCGACAAAATGTAAGACATGAGAGCATTCACTAAGTGAGCAGGATGTTCGTGCTGCGCTGAGTCCTATTCCACTTAGGTGCCTGATCCGCTCATCTCGTACAGGGTGTTGTCAAACTTACAGAACCGGCTGTACAAGGCACTACGATACTTTAGATACTAATTACGTATTGACTCGAATCGTCTTATCAGTCCTTTCTAGGAAGGCCGCGATCACTAGTAAGGGACAGAAATTAGAAAAGAATAGAGAGAAGACACCTCTAGGCACACAAAAAGGAAGTGACAAAATGAGGATTCGAACTGGCAAAATGGCAGAATATAGTACTACAGCAAGACGCAGGGTGCGGTAGGTTTAGATAATTTCAGTTTGCGATCCATGGACGAAGACGTCGCACGCTAGACCACTTGGCCAGAGTGCAGTGGCTCGCCCACCCCGACAGACAATCCAACTTTGCTCGGCTATAGAGGAGTGTGTATTCACCTCTTTGAGCAACCCTGATGGCTTCGTCGTCTCTGCTGTACGCCCTTTCAACAGTGATCACGTGTGGATTTCGTTACCTGGGCATTATTCGATTCATATTTCGTATACATACGTACTATAGTCGAGGCTGTATGTACTCCGAATTTTTTGTTTCATATTCTCGTACATCATATTCAACCACTCTAGAATCTCGGAATGATGGCGTCGGGCTTGTTCTCCAGTGCCTCGTCAATTTCCTTC